TTCAAGGCGATGGTGCTAGTCGCGAAGAAGGCACTAATGAAGACAATGAGACGAGCGAGATTGAACATCGTGTAGGTGTCAACTATAGCGATCACTTACAGTGACAGCCGTGCCGGAGTAAAGGGTCAACACATATCCCGGAATTGATTCATACACGAAAATAAGTTACATTATCGGGCGAGCGAGATTATTTATGGGTCGAGCGGAGCGATGCTGCATTTTGGGTGAATTCGATGATGACGGCAACCACCAAAGGGCAATCTTTGAGTATTTCTGTTCCTGCCCGTATGGCCACCTGCACAGAGGTTGATCCCAAGCTTGAGAGCATCCTAGGGCAAGATGAGTTCGTTAAGAAGATGCTTGCCAAGACGAGGAAAGCTCTAATGTAATAATATGGGAATATCTATGATCATGGTTTCCCTACCGTACTCACTCGGAGAGGCATAAGTGTATCACACATTAATAGAGTACGATCCGCCCGGCCACAACACGACACTACTCCGTGAAACGCCTTCCCTTATACCTGTCGAGTGAGCGTAGTCAGCCTCCTAGTTTCATGAGGACTATGCCTAGGCAGTGGGAGGTCTGTGCTGTGGTCAAGACAATGACTGCCGTTCAGGTCAGCATCGCATCTACCCAGCGGCACCGAGTACTCGGTCATGTCCGGCATCGAGGATATTAGTGAGCGGAGCGATGCAGCTGGCAGACGGGTGGAGCACTTGCTTGGAAAGCTCTTCAAAAAGCTGTAATATACGGTTTGAGGTGAAATGCATTCGAGCGTGGTGGGAAAATTTTCGACGTTTTTTTCCGACTTGAGAATTTATCCTTTTACTGTGTGGAGTGTGGTATAGAAATTTGGGTTCATGCTCAACGACAGGTTTTTTTCTGAGGGAATATTGGCTCCTCCCGGGAGGTTCACTAAATTTATGTTTTTATCAGCGACCCTGAAGTCCATGCCAAACGTATAGGGGATTGGGGTGAATTTGAGGATGCTATTGATAACCTCTTCGGGAGAGTTGATGAGGCCTTTAAGATCAAGGACATTGCTGAACATAGAATAGTAGGGGACGCCACGCGAGACGGAGCTGGTACTAGTGATGGGGGAATTCTAGGTTGCAATTGATCTCCAATAGAGCTGATAAGCTATGCTCTTGGTCGGTTTCTGGTAGATTGGGCGTTTCCGTTTGAGGGTGT